TATGTTTTCTGATCATGTTTTAATACATATAAATATTTAATTTTGTAAGGTCTAGGTTAATGTTTCTTACTTTAAAACATTTTTCAGACCCATAGATTTTAAAAATGTTTCATAAAATATACAAATAATGAGGTGCAAATTTATATGCACTACACATTGAAAAAAACTGCAACCCTACTTGAACTCAACAACTTAGTTCCCTCAACAGCTTGAGCACACACTGATGCTCAAGTGGCCAGTTACTTAAAGTGTAGGACAGATGCCCTGTCACCTTTATTTCTTTGAAGAATTTGGCAAGTGAATTCAACTTTGCTAGTAGAGGAACCAGAGGCTTTTGTTGGCACAACTCAACAAAATGTCTCTCAGAGTGACTACTTTGTAGACAGAGTAGCTACTTCAGTGCTACCCAACAGCTATGTGACACTGTGTCATGTCAATTTCTCTCATGCAGCTGTATTCATAAATGGCATGTGTTGCTTTGAATTCTAATTTAAGAGTTTCTCCTTGTTAACTCTTTCCCTTCACAAACCTGTCACCTTTTTATTTCTCTATCCACAAAATAGATACTCTGATATGCCAGTACGAAACTGTCTTGGTGAATGTAGAGGGGAGGAAAGAGCAGAAATCCTGGCTAGGCTTATTGTGGTATTAGAAATGTTTAAAAATTACTTGGGCTTCCTCCTTAGAAGATTACAGGTCAAGTATTACTACATTTCTGTTTCTTCATGCAATTACAACTCAATTTGATTCTTGCAAAACAGTTCTATTTTTGTTTTGTCACTGGTCGTTTTTCACAAGGTACACCAAATCCCCCTCCCCCAAATCAAAATGGAACAAAACTAAATTATGTATTTTAAAGCCAGTATGACAATTATGCTAATATAGCTAGGATTCATGAATAGAGTTTGCAAATCCAAGTTTCAACAACTATACCAAATAACTATTATTAAGACCGTGCTTTGGTTCTGACTTTTTTAGGAGGCCTACTGAGACATTAAATCTTAGGCAGAATGTCATTTTTCAGTGATAAAGCTGTTTTAAGTACTGAATTGCCTATACTCCAATAATTTGTACATTTTTTTTCTTGTTAGTGACATATTTCATGTAAAGAACAGAAAAAAGTATATCGGTCTGCAATGGGAGTCAACCATCTGTATGTGGAAAAAGGTTTTGATGATATATCTGTCTTCAACTGAAACATTAAATGAAACATTTGAAAGAAGCAACTTAAGCAAGTAAGTATTAATATTTGCTCCATAGATATAGTAACAGAAAATCTAGCATGAGCCACAAGAGGACTTGAAATACAGAGGTTATGAGGAGTCAATCAAAATACCAATGAAGAGCAAGGTGACAATGGTTAGGTCCTGTTCTTGCAGCTTTCCCCTTATGCCCTCCTTTACTCAGCCATGAGTCTCCTCTACTGATGGTCACCTACTACTTGACCCTACAGAGTCTAAATCTTCAGATACTTCCCAAAGAACTGAACCATGAGAGAAATAAAATGCGAACAGAAAAAAATGAACTATATTCTTACCAAAACTTGAGACTCTTATTTAAAGTATTCTTGGAAGGAAGAATTTTTTCAATGAAATTGTGCTCTGTACAACTCACCTAATCAAATTAAAATTCCTGCTTTCCTTATCAGAAACATTGTTTTCTCTGAGTGAGAACAAGGAATGAATAAGTAGATCTGTTTAGTTCAAGTGAGGCAAATGAAAATTGCTGTCCTGGCTGAGGGCAATGTTCAGCAGTAGAGGATTTATTAGCATGCACAAGGCACTATATTTAATCTCCAGTACTGAAGAAAAAACCGCCACATCCAAACAAAAACTAAAATAATGAATGAATGAATAAGCAAATGAAATTATATACTGTGACAGGTCTTTGTAAGAGAAAACAGAAATTATCATTAGATGAAATAAGAATAATTGTGGTTAAAATGAAGTGTTTCTGCCAAATGCTGATGAAAAACTAACAATTCTAGATAGTTTTTCTTACATTTAACAAATTAATACCGGTCCATTACATGCAAGGCAATTGTTTCATTTTTTAAATTTGTTTGAAAACATTTCAGTCATTTTTTTATTTCATGAAGGTAATGGGCATTCCATAGTCACCTTTGTGCTAGTAATTACTCCAAGCAATGGCTCAGGTAAAAAAATAAACCCCAGATCTTTGTCTAGCTACATTTTGTGACTCTAAGATTTATTTTTTGCATATATTTCCGTCTTAGGAAAGGAAAAGAAAATATAAATGAGTTATTGTATTTTCAGATACTATGATACACATGTTTCTGAATGTTCAATTTCATAGGAAATGTTTATTTTTAAATTATAAAGATATTAAAAGGACAAAGTTAAAATTTATGCAAAATGGTCAAACAAAATAGAAGCATGAGTTTTAGTGAAACTTTTTCTTTCCTTCTTACCCAATGATGATAATTTTGTTGGCATCCTTCCAAAATTATTCAATCTATGTATGCAATTATATCTTATACATCTATATAAATAGTATCAATCAAACAGACAGAATAAAATGAATTATATGACTTGACATAGAAGGATGATTTCAATGTTAGTAAAAAATGTTACTTCCAAACAGCACAGATATTTGTGTAAATTTTACCATTATGAGTGAGGATCCACTTTCATTTTGATCATCATCAAAAGTGAACCTAAAGGCAAGAAAAAGGCAAGCATAATAAGCAATAAATAAGCAATAAAATATTAAATATAACTTTACAATCAAATATTCTCATGGTTTCAAAGTTGGAAACATCTAATCCTCTGTTTCCTAAAAAAGGTTCAATTGGCAATAGAAAAACGTTATGAAGTATTTACAAGACCAACCCTTGGAAACAATACTCAAAATATATTCATGGTCAATTTCTAATGACAAATTTAGAAAAAAATATAGAAAATCCCAGTGTTTTGTTAAGCTATTACAGATTTATACATGTATTTATATGCATATATACACATATATATTTACACACAGATACAAGAAATAAAACATGTTATTGTTCATATGATATTGGAATATCTTATAGTTCTCCAGTAAAAGTATTTATTAAAATTGATTTTGCATAAATAAAATAAACAATAAAATATATATGGGAATCTATAGTGAAATTAATAGGAACATATGCATTTGAACTTGTCTCTAAGATAACTTACAATGAATCAAAATTTATATATCATATATGAGTAAAATTAAGCAATGGACTTACAAAAATGGAGCAATGTCAAAAAATTAGAAATGGCCACTGAACTAACTCCATATTTGTTCTGTAGATATTAGATATTATTTCACAAAAATGTTTAATCATCAATCCACAAGTAGACAGTTATATTTAACAAGAATTTCCTGATATTTGAAAAAGTAATAACATTGTTACTTGCATCTAGAAGTATATTATAATGTGCTTCTAAAGATTATTTGTTGCAGTGTTTTCTATATTCAGGCATGACATATGTGGTGGTTTGAAAGAAAATGGCCCCCCAAAAGAGTGGTACTATTAGGAGATGTATCTTTGTTGGAATAGGTATGGTCTTATTGGAGGAAGCATGTTAGCTCACTTCCTGTTGCTTGCTTATCAAAATGTAGGACTCTCAGCTCCAGCACCATATTGGTCTGCATGCCACCATGTCACACCATGATGATAATGGACTAAATCTCAGAAAATGTAAGCCATCCCAATTAAATATTTTTTTCTTTTATTAGAGTTGCCATGGTCATGGTTTCTCTTTACAACAATAGAAACCCTAAGTAAGACAACATAGAAAAACCTCATAAAGAAATGAGAAAATAAGTCATATTTATAGCTAATATGTAGGTATTATTGAAGTAGAGTTGACCAGTGTGGCAGAATTTGTGATTTAGCAAGTATTCCTCTCCTCCTTCCTTGTAAGTCAAGTCTATCCTTTTCTGGTCTGTCAGGTTTGGTTACGTGATTCTCTTCAGTTAGTTAAAAGTGAGTAGAAGTCTGAGCAGAAGCTATAAATGCATAGTGTTGATGGGGAATGTACTTCTGTGCATGTTCATCTTATTGATTGTTGAATAAAGTACTGTTTGGCTAAGGAGGCAGCAAGTTAGGCAGGACTAGGAGTCAAGTAGGATTCTGGGAAATGTAGTAAAGAAGTGATGATCCAGGCAGGAAATGACATAGCAGGGAGACTCATACATAAACAAGGGAAGAAGGAAGTGGGCCCCTTCTCTCTTCCTCCAGAGTCACCATGTGATCCCGGGATGAGGATGCCTTTCAGAGTCACCATGTGATCCCGAGAAGAGGATGCCAATGGAAGGCTTCCAATAAGGTAAGTCTTACAAAATATATAGATTTATAACAATTAAGACTGAGCTAACAGATGAGAAACCTAGTCATTGGCCAAGCAGCATTTGTACCTAATAGAAGTTTCTGTATATTATTTGGGGCCCTAACTCGGCGATCAGAACTCAGGTGGCTGGCAGAAAAGTGCCCATGTGGCGGTAGAGCTCAGATGGCTTTTGGCAGAAAGATTTATCATAACATAGTGTAACTTGGCTTCTTAAGCTGCTAGCATATGCCATTAGAGTGTTATATCCTAAAGAGAGGATAATTTCTTTAGTCAAAGTCCTACAATGTTACTAATAATGTGGGGCAGACCTGAATACATCTCACCTTAGCTGACTAGAGAATAAGAATGGCAGTGCAATGAGATATACCTTTTGCTTTAAGATAGATTTATCTTTTTAAAAATGTTTTGTCACTTTCTGGATCTCTAATATATTGTTCCTTTTCACTTCATACACTATCCTCAAATAAAAGAAAGATGAAAGTAGCCAACACAGTTTGAATTATTTCCTTTTTACTAATTCCTTTAAGTTCTTAAAATAATCCCTATATAATATGTCTTTATATACTCATAGTCATAAATGTATTTATGTGAAAAATCCAACCTTACTTTAGAGATATAATATCTACTGGGCATGTTATTGTAAAACCACATGAAAGAAACTTACTGGCTAGATTGTCTGGTAGGTCTGTAAGTTTCTTCATCATATCCTTCTGCTGATTTCACAGTAAGTCCCACTGCAGCTCCCAGAAGAAATTCTTCTTCATTTCTCATGGGAAGTCTTCGCGCCTGTTGCAGAGCACTTCCCTGTGCAGAACTCACAGGACGCATCCGGAAAGGACTCACGGTTCTTGCCCTTGCTTGTCTCTCATTGTATCCTCTTGCAAGACTCTGAGCGCGTTCTCTCCCACATCTCTCAGTGTATCCTCTTGCAGGGCTCATGGAATAGCCCCTTGCAGGAATCGTTGCTCGTCCTTGAGCAGGTCTCACAGCAAGAACTGTAGCAGGATTTTCAGCATAACCCCTTTCAAGTCTGACAGGTCGTCCTCTTTCAGGTCGCGAAGCAGGTCCCCTTGCGGGTGCCTCAGAATATCTTTTAGCAATTTCTCTCATAGATGCTGCCAAAGATCTGACTTCACCTCCTGAAGCACTATTGTCAAGGAACTGAAGAAAGAAAGAGAAAAAAGAATGAACTGTTCAGATATTCAAATTCAGAAAGTTAGTAGACACATCAAGATTCCTAAGGGTGTCTGAGTAAAAATAAAGGTTGGATTTCAAAATGCTTAGATTCTTTGAGTTTATGTATACAACTTGTTTCAATTTCAACCAAGTTTGAAAAAAAGTAGTAGCCTTGTATATTTTTTCTTCCTGTGAACAAATCATACAAGTTGTTAGACAAAAAACAGCTATTAAGAACTTGGTACAGGTTCTGGAATGAAGTTAAAGTTTTTAAAATAAATAACTTTTAAATAACTTTAGTCAGTTATGTCACAACTTATTTTGCAAGCATTTCAAATAACCATTTTCTTGTATAAAGTTTGTTTTGAAAAAAGAAATGGAGGAAAGAGAAAGTCAGATATAGTCTTAGGATAGACACTTTCAGCAGAAGAGTAATAATGAAGCACAGGTAATTAATCAGGAAATGAAGCTAATTGAGTAAATTTTGATTGCATAGTTTTTTAGATATGTACATAGCTTATACTTTAAAAGTAAAATTAAGTAAATATGTTTTTAAAAGCATAAGCTCTGAAACAGATTTCAAGCAGAAACATGTAAGCTATTAGTTTGTCAAACTTACAACCATGGCGACATAATACATACTTTGGTGACTATAAGAAGAAAGAGACGAATTATAATATCTATTGAGTTTTCTCATCTGGACTATATTGGTATTAGAATAACAACTCTGAGAGTAATGATTATTGATGGCTACAGGTTTGCATGCATTGTATAAGTAGATATGTTGACTGTTTTGTAAACTATAGTTACCATATGGCAGCTGGATAAAGAGAAACAAGTAAAGAACAGACATCATAAAAAGGCTCTTTTGTGCTTACTAATTTGAGTATTTTTCTGCTCCATTATCATTCTATCTTTCTATTGGAACTCAGGGTGGGATGAAGGGAGAAAGGGAAATAATGGAACAGTAAGGGATATGGGGTGGGGGATCGGAAAGCAGGGCAGAGAAGGAGTGTGGGAAAGAATAACCAACACTAAAAGTCCTTTGAAAATGCCATATAGAAACCTACTACTGTGGAAGCTTCCTAAAATATATACACACATAAAAAGACTTTAAATAGTTACCTTACAACAGGGAAGGGCATAGGTTATCAAAAATAAAGTCTAGTGCCTGGTATGGATTACCTCTTTTCAAATTGTTTGTCAGTATGGTCCATGAATAAATGACATACTATTGCATTGTTCTTGTTTACCCTCCAGAACTTGTCAATAAGACCTTGTTGCTGAAGACACCACACACCTGAGTCATGGGACTTGGAGAAATATAGTTCAGACTATCCCAGAAGTTGTATACCTAGTAGCTGTCTTTTATAGTTCTTGAAGGTTCTCTGCATGCTATTGTGTGAGAGAAGTTACCAATGGTTTTATCAGGCTATGATCCATATGAACATATCCCTGGTGCAATAGCAGGACAAATGTAATGGGAGTAACAGCCACTTTCTGATTGTATTTTAAAACCACTCTACATGATAGAGTCCATGCTTGATACCATTAACTGGGTCAAAAATCCATGGTTAGGTCATAGTCCCTAGGAAAGAACCTTGTCCTATTATTCTGATAAATCAACATAATAATAAACTCTCTTCTAAGCTCTTATTTCTATACCCATATATTAGTGTATCTCTCACCTTTCTGGAGGGAAGCTTATTTAGCAGTAGATGATAATTAGCAGAGGTCCACAAGCAGGCAACATACAGAGGATGAGAGATTGTGAACTGCTCTTCCCTATTTGGGATATTTATATCACACCCTCTCTCCCAAATGCTCATGAATCATCATAGAAGATGGAATAAAATGATTGTAATAGTCAAAGGGAGTTAATGTCTGTTATCAAAACTGTACTTTTAGGACATGAGAGCACAACTGCACATACAAATTCGAGTAATTGGGACTGTAGTCACATGACTTGTACTAGATTAAGCCAGCCAATATCCCAACATGGAGAAAGATGTAGAATAGAGACCAGATGATATACAACCAGAATTGAGTGGCTGCTATTCAAGTGCTTTGTACATGGTGACTCATTTAATCCTCATAGAGCTTCTATGAAGTAGACACTATTATTATCCTTGGGCTATAGGCAATAAATAAAGCAATGAACTAACTTTTTCATGGTAGCAAGTTGTTAAGTGATCAATTTGGAAACCCTACCATTCTGATTCTGAAAGTTGGCATTATCAGTACTATAAAGTACCTTTTAAAAATTAAGTGAAAATTAATTATTCCAGGTTGTGGTGCATATCCCTTCAGAGATGAATTATAAATGAATAGGTTATGTACAAGATTATTTTGGCACTAATTTATTTAGAAGTCAGTTTACATACATCTCTGTATTAAACATTGTTGTAAATTCCAATGAACTCAATTCCTAGAAGCCACTGTAAAATAAGTATTAGATATGTATTTCTCTAGCTCTATGAATATTTTTAATTGTCTTATCTATTGTTGTCAGATGTAATTAAATATTTAAGATCCTTCTCAACAGTCACCAGACAGGAACACTTAAAATGCTCCTGCATGACAATCATTCAGCTGAGATATCAAAGTTGTAGTCAGAATATTCAGTGTTAGAAATATATACTATTTTAAAGATGATTTGTCAAGAAGCAATCATAAATCAATATCAATTAATACTATCATTCTTGTAATACATTACTAGATTTTAAATCACAAAATAACAACATATCATTTTTTAATGGAGTAAATAAAATATTTTCAGAATATAAAGTAAAAACACAGAAAATGTAATCAATGATTGATTAAAGAATGAATAATAAGGATTATTAAGGAAGTCTGTACAAACCCTCCTAATGGCCAAATACCTGTTTAAATGGAAATTCTTAGACATATAGACACATTTCATAATATAGCCTATTAATCCTTGTTGGGCTATGATTATAGTATTGAAACTGGAAAATACAAAATATTAAAATAAAAACAAACAAGAGATGTCAATGTTATTATAATGCTTAAACAAATTTTCTGTCATCTCACTGTTTCCTATTATCTATTACACCATAGGATACAAAGTGATTATGACCCTTATCTCTACCATTATTCATTTACTGTCATTCATAGTATTTTTTATTTTGATGTCTTCTATTTCTTTGTTTCAGTAATAAAAGAAGTTTTCTTAAAGACCAACAAGAAGAGTCACATAAAACTAGGGTAGTTGCATATGAACTTATGGGATGTTCACACAGAATTATGTTGAAAAGTCATATTTAAATGGTATGAATTAAGGTTGTCTAGAAAATGTGTAATTTTAGATACCTGGGTAAAGCCCCAAACCATTCAGCACCACATCTACAGCCATTGGAGCCTTAGCCCTGCACCACCAAGAAAGAAGAGGCCCTACCTGCACCCACTGGAAGAAGAGATGGGTTGATAGCAGTATCACATTCAACAACACAGATATATGACGCCACCAGAGACTAGAGGTTCTACGCAGGCAAGAACTGAACATCCCAACACAGATGAAGCAGAAGAAAATGACCTTAGAAATAACTTTATGAAGATGATAGAGGCCCTTATAGAGGAAATGAGAAAATTCCTTAAAGAAATGGAGGGAAAGACAAAAAATGGAAACATGGAGGAAAAGACAAACCAAAAAATGCAAGAAATCAACAAATGTCTTAAAGAAAGCAATAAAAGCCAAGAAAAAATCAAACAGGTGAAGGAAACAATTCAAACAGTTCAAAATTTGAAAACTGAAATAGAGGCAATAAAGAAAACACAAACTGAGGGAATGCTGGAAATGGAAAATCTGGGCAGACAATCAGGAACTACAGATGCAAGCATAACCAACAGAATACAAGAGATGGAAGAGAATCTCAGGTGTTGAAGATACACTAGAGGAAATAGATTCATCAACCAAAGAGAATGTTAAATCTAACAAATCCTTAATAAAAAATATTCAAGAAACTTAGGACAGCATGAAAAGACCAAACCTAAGAATAATAGGTATAGAAGAAGGTGAAGAAATCCAGCTCAAGGTGCAGAAATCACAGAAGGAAATCACAAAATCACAGAAGAAAACTTTCCCAGCCTAAAGGACATAACTATCAAAGTATAAGAAGCTTACAGAATACCAAACAGACTGACCAAAAAAGCCCCCTTGCCACATAATAATCAAAACACTAAACATACAGAATAAAGAAAGAATATTAAGAGCTATAAAGCAAAAAGGACAAGTAACATATAAAGGCAGACCAATCAGAATTACAACTGACTTCTCAATGGAAACTCTGAAAGCTAGAGGTCCTGGATAGATGTTCTACAAACACTAAGAGACCATGGATGCCAGCCCAGACTACTATACCCAGTAAAATTCTCAATCACTATAGATGGAGAAAACAAGATATTCCATAACAAAACTAGATTTACTCAATACATATCCACAAATCCAGCACTACAGAAAGTTCTGGAAGAAAAGCTCCAACCAAAGGAAGTTAACTATACTCACAAGAACATAGGTAATAGATAATCACACTTTACCAAAAGCTAGAAATAGGGGAAAAATTCCAAAACAAGGAAGTTAGAAAATGTGGAATGGAAGGGAAGCATTCCTGATGTATGATAGAAGTAGGGCCAAGGGCAACATTTGTACTGAATAATTAAATGCTAGTATTGATATTGTTGTATTTTGATTACTTTAGAATAACTACAGGAAATAATTTAAATTAATAGTATAAACTGTTTATTTTGGTTAACCAATTTTCCCATTAGGTGTTTTAGGCCATAGCAAGTGCTAAAAAGGGGTCCTGAAATTATACAAATGCTTCATTTTACAGGTGGAGAAAATAAGAAACTTCATAGTAAATAACATGTTCAAGACATAAAGCTACTTTTGGACAATGCCAAAACAAAAATACTAAAATCAACTAGCTTCTCAGACCAGTACTTCAAATATACCTCTCTGCATC